TAATGTATTAAGGTGACACTGTGTCACTACAATAATGTATTAAGGTGACACTGTGTCACTACAAGAAAGTATTGAGGTGACACTGTGTCACCACAAGAATGTGGTAAGGTGACACTGTGTCACTACAAGAATGTGTTAAGGTGACACTGTGTCACTACAAGAATGTGTTAAGGTGACACTGTGTCACTACAAGAATGTGTTAAGGTGACACTGTGTCACTACAAGAATGTGTTCAGGTGACACTGTGTCACTACAAGAATGTGTTAAGGTGACACTGTGTCACTACAAGAATGTGGTAAGGTGACACTGTGTCACCACAAGAATGTGGTAAGGTGACACTGTGTCACTACAAGAATGTGGTAAGGTGACACTGTGTCATATGTCATTAGTGAATAACTTTTGTATCACTTTATTTTCACCATTTCTCTCCAGACGAGGATGCAGAGCCTTCAACCAAACCCTAAGGCAACCTACCACTCATTGACAGACGGTTTGTGCAAAATGGTCAGGTATGAGGGAGTTTTTCGTCCTGTTCGAGGAATGACTGCCGTAGTTTGTGGAGCAGGGCCTGCTCATGCTCTGTACTTTTCTTGTTATGAAAAAATGAAGCGGGTTTTCAGTGGTACAGAAACTGGAGCCCATAGTCCAATTTCTCAAGGTAAAAATACATAACATTTATAGAGTCTAGCATAAAAAGTTAAAATGTTGTAGTTTACTGCATCTCCTAAGGGACAGGTTGTAAATAATCAATGCAAGAGCCAAAAATAACAATATATTAAGGAGCCAACCTAACTTATTAAAACGTTATTCCCGGGTGTGTCAGTGATAAGTTCGAGGTTTGATTCCCCCTGGTGAATGGAGCTCATCTTAGTAGCTTTGCATTTAGACTACAACTTATTAGCCCCCTGGTGGCTCAGTGGTATGTGTGAGGGGAGAGGGGGTATAACACTAAAACTTAGGATTCTATACCCACGATGGCCACAGTACAGATAGCCTATTGTGTAGCTTTGTATTTAATATTGTTCAAAATGCCCTCTGGTGGCCAAGCAGTAAGTCTGAGGGCTTATAGGGCTAAAACTTTGGTTTTGATACCCACAGTGGACACAACACAGATAGCCTATTTTATAAGACTTGTACTTAACAACAAACTTATTCTTACACGATCTGAGTATAGAAGTGTCAAAATCTAGATGGAAAATAGCTGAATTATACTTACATCTTAAATAACTTGGAACTCTTTGGAGAAAGTTGAGACCTTGCATGTATTTTTACCACTTAGTAAGTATAAGTGTTGGACAGAAAACGTTATGACACTTAATGTACTTAATTCTTGTACAAGATTTCCATATTTTTAGGAAGTAACCAAGTTTTAATAAAATGTATTAAATCTTTTTTCAAGCCACTTATTCATGTTCAAAACTTTGTTTCCAGGAGCTGCTGGTTGCTTAGCAACATTGGTACATGATGCAGTAATGACTCCAACAGATGGTAAGGCAAAAAAATCTTTGTGTAAACACATTAAATCGGTTCAGACGTATTTAGCTGTAACTGATGCATCTCGTTCGATTATATTTGTTATTTTATAATACTAACTGGGACAGTGAATTTCTGGACCGGAGGTTAGGGCATTTTAATTGCAATCTGAGGGTCGGAGGTCAAATCCCCATCCCACCAAACGTGTTTGGCCGTGGGGGCGTTGTAATGTGACCGTCAATCCCACTATTCATTGATTAAAGAGTAGCCCAAGAGTTGGCGGCGAGTGGTAATGACTAGCTTCCTTCCATTTAGTCTGTCACTGCTAAAGTAGGGACGGCTAGTGCAGATAGCCCTCGTGTAGCAAAAGAAACAGTGAGTTTGCATGAGAATTTTTATAAAATGTGCTAATAGTGGAGGACTATAGATGGTTAGTGTAGTTTTTTTGTCTTTAAACAAAGTTTACAAGATAGATGTAGTTTTATGTGTCTTTTTTTTTTTTGTGGTTTATAGCGATACGTTTGATTTTCAGTTATCAAGCAACGAATGCAGATGTTCTCTAGCCCATACAGAAACACCGTTGACTGTATGAGAAGAATATGGCAGAGAGAAGGTGTGTGGGCGTTCTACCGTAGTTACTCCACTCAGTTGACCATGAACATCCCATTCCAAAGTATCCACTTCATGACGTACGAGTTCATGCAAGACGTAACAAATGAAAAACGGACGTACAATCCCAAGGCTCACGTAGTGTCGGGGGCAGTTGCTGGAGCCTTTGCCGCCGCCATCACCACCCCACTGGACGTGTGTAAGACTTTACTAAACACTCAAGAACGGGAAACTCTTCACGTGATAAAAAAATCCCACGTTAACGGCTTGTTTAATGCGGCAATGACCGTGTATAAGTTCAAAGGTTTGAAAGGCTATTTTCAAGGCTTACAGGCACGGGTAGTTTCACAAGTGCCCTCAACGGCAGTGGCATGGTCAGTTTATGAGTTTTTCAAATATGTGCTTCAAAGTAAACACGCTCTAACAGACCAAACTGTTGATCACTCAAATCCAACACCATCGCAAGAAGATCTCTTACCTACATCTACAGGTGCTATCGGTGCAGCTCCAACACCCCTGTGAAAGGGTAGGCATAAATTTTTATCACCAGTTACCTGCTGATAGTTTACTGGTAGGCACAGTTGCAAATAGCTTTCAAGTTGTGCTGTAACATTCTTGTTTTTTAATTAGTAAGTGTATGTTGTCATTATGAGATAAATCTTGTATGCTACTGTAACATGATTAAAACTTTTATATTATTATAATCTAATCAACACTAGAATATTACTGTAACGTGATCAAAACTTTTCCGTTATTATAATCTAATCAACACTAGAATATTACTGTAACGTTAATGTAATAGTTTGATCTATTCTAGTGTTGATTAGATTATAATAACGTAATAGTTTTGATCACGTTACAGTAATAGTATAGTGTTGATTAGATTATAATAACGTAATAGTTTTGATCACGTTACAGTAATATTCTAGTGTTGATTAGATTATAATAATGTAATAGTTTTGATCACGTTACAGTAATATTCTAGTGTTGATTGGATTATAAAGTTTTGATCACGTTACAGTAAATTACATTATTATAATCTAATCAACACTAGAATATTACTGTAACATGATCAAAAGTATTACGTTATTATAATCTAATCAACACTAGAATATTACTGTAACATGATCAAAAGTATTACGTTATTATAATCTAATCAACACTATACTATTACTGTAACGTGATCAAAACTATTACATTATTATAATCTAATTAACACTAGAATATTACTGTAACGTGATCAAAACTATTACATTATTATAATCTATTCAACACTAGAATATTACTGTAACGTGATCAAAACTTGCATATCGTCATAATGTAATTCATATCCATTCATAAATTCATTTTGCTCTCCAGGTTATTTGAAATCCAAGTTTACTGATCTTTGATGTGCATGTAAACTGAAGTAACAGTATTTCCTGGTCAAGCAGCTTTGTTGTGTGTTCGTAAACATTTGTATACTTCAATGAAAACTTTTATTATATTGGAGTTGTGTATAAACTTAAAAAGATATACCCCAGTGTAATTTTTGGTCGGTAGATGTTTAAAACTCGTAACGTGTGTTCACAAATAACTAAGTGTTCTATTAGCATTTCTAGTTCTACGTCGGAGTTCCTGGTGGGCTGCTGCACAGTTCAATCCTACCTTTAGTGTTTTATGTGGTTCTTAAGAAACTGTAAACATCTTACAAGCCTGGCTCTGAAGTGGAACAACTTATAAGAAACACCTTTTTATTTTGTACTTTCAGATTTTAATTGTGAATTTGTGGTAGAGTACAACCTTGATTTCCTTACTTTTATGTGTAAAATATTAATGGATGTCTACTTTATACAAGAAAAATAAGCTTGATATAAAAGTTATTATTCAACTTTGAGTCTTTGAAGTCAAACTATGTATATTAAGCCTAGTTATCGAACAGTCTAAAGCAACGGAGTAAGAGAGAGAAGTATTTTAACTAATCAATGTCATTCATCTGTCAATTTCTTTAATAAAGTATTGATAATTTACAAATTCCTGCCCTCTAGCTAACACGATAAACTCTCTAAGGTTGGTATGAATTATTAAATTATAAATGTTGTCTATTAAAAGGACTTGCTTCGGATTGGATCTTGAACTATTTCTCCTTACAAAGCCAGCTAGTGATATTGTTATGAGCCTTCATATTAGTGGTTAAGTCACTGTGTATTTACAGAAATGACTTCAACTTTTTATGGTAAAATCTGCATTGTTCATTGATTTACTTCAATTAAGTTTAATCCATGATAAAGATGTTTCAGAAGGAACTTCTCACCATCGATTGATAAATACTGACAACGTTAATCCTTTTCTTTTCAGTTACTGAAGTCAAGAGAAGCAGAATGTCTAAGAGTGCATCTAGAAATTTTTGAAACATCTTACAAAAACACTTCTGTTTGCCCAATAGTATTTTCTTTCAAATTCAATAATGTTTTTTTTTTTTGACATGAAAACAGCATACAGCTTGTGAAAAGTCTATTTTTCAAACATACAAAATTCTAATTGTCCCTCCAATTTCTTTTGTTGTGATATAGAGTACTGACCTTAAAAACTGGATGCTATTACCTTACCAAGATTTTAACTTTATAAAACTGAATGTGTGCCTTTCATGATTGTCTGCCAAAACAGTAAAAGTAAGGCTTTTTTTACTGTTGTGAAGCTTGCTGGATAACATAAACCAAATAGTAAAACCAAGACTGTTACAGTTGTACAACTTGCTAGATAACATCAACCAAACAGTAAAACCAAGACTTTTACAGTTGTACAACTTGCTAGATAACACCAACCAAACAGTAAAACCAAGACTGTTACACTTATACAACTTGCTAGATAACACCAACCAAACAGTAAAATCAAGACAGTTACAGTTGAACAACTTGCTAGATAACACCAACCAAACAGTAAAATCAAGACTGTTACAGTTGTACAACTTGCTAGATAACATCAGCCATTTTACTGTTGTAAATAATCGTGTTATCAGTAGACCAAATTTTTGTTTCTTGTAAAAAAAATAGGCTTCATTAATACTGTGAAGCCTTAAAAAATAATATTAGCTGTACAGAATGTGGATAATGAGCAATAATAAACAAAGCTAATTTTTTTAATTATGATTATCTTTTACAGAGCTACATAAATTACTTTGATAGTACGTAATAAAACCTGGAATTTTCCTTTATTGGCAAACATTAACGGCTACTTTTCCACACTGTGAAACTCCCCAGCTTTTCCCATAGAAACCACCATTTTGTCGACATGGTGGTCATAAACTATGTCAATTGACTCACAGGATTGTTTTCAGTCATTCCCAAGAACTGAAATTATTTGGGTTACTCAAAAGAATAACTTAAATTTATTTATTAGTTACACTATAAAGTTTCTATAAGCCAACGGTGTTCATTAGTAGAAATTTTTTGTTCCTTAACAGAACAACATTCCTCTATTTTAAAAAAAAAAAAAGTCATACGTTATCACGGAAATAAAATTAGCCTATAAGAGAAATATTCAGTGTTTTTTTGAAATTTATCTCAAGTGTTAATTCTTTACAAATAGATATATATATATTTAAATAAAATGTTAGTTTTGACTGTGTAACATTTGTTTTTCTGGAATTTCCACAATAGCTCTTATATACATTTCACAGAGAAAAAAGTCAGTAAACCATGATCCATAAACTATTTATATACAAAAAAATACCACCTAGTGATGTTTACTGTAAACATACTTGAATCACAAAATTCTCTGTCAAAAGGGAATGGTAAACTACTGAATAAATCTTTTATTACTTCAAATGTAACAAGTTTGATAAAAAAAACAAACTTAATTACAATTTGCCAAAACATAGGCAGCAAGCTATAATATACTGGAACAGGTTTATATTTAAAAAAAAATCTTAGTTTATAAATATTATTATTTTTTACACTGCTGCATATCTTTTAGTAATAAAATTGAACGTATTTTAATTTCCTCCTCTTTATTTTAATGATGACAAGCTACTTGTACAAATGGGTATGAGTTAAGCTTTTCTGTGAACCCACGATAAGGTTGCAGCAATGAAGAGTTTTCAATCCAGGTAGCTACGTGGTCTTCTAAATCTAATTATTTAAAGTTATTATGAAATATTAATTACTAACTAGCTTGTGCTGCCATCTTCGGGAAAGTCCTTAGAAGGACATTATTGTTGGTAAGCTTTGATACCCTTCTTAGAAGCATCCCAATAACTGATTGATTCAATACCTAATAGTGGAGTCTCTGGATGGAAAGCAAACCAGCCTTTCTAGACATGATTCCCAGTTTTGTCATTCTTAAAATATACGAGTCACCCATAGATGTAGCTCAAACTGTTGGTCAACATAAAATTTTAAAACTTTACTTAAACCAGTACTTTAATCTGTAGATCATCAGATAATCTTTAGTGTAATGGAGCTATTAGATGTTAAAATCATACAGATAACGTTCCAAGAGTTCATATTTAGTGTAATGGAGCTATTAGATGTTCATCATACAGATAACGTTCCAAGAGTTCATATTTAGTGTAATGGAGCTATTAGATGTTAACATCATACAGATAATGTTCCAAGAGTTCATCTTTAGTGTAATGGAGCTATTAGATGTTAAAATCATACAGATAACGTTCCAAGAGTTCATATTTAGTGTAATGGAGCTATTAGATGTTAGCATCATACAGATAACGTAGTGTAATGGAGCTATTAGATGTTAACATCATACAGGTAACGTAGTGTAATGGAGCTATTAGATGTTAGCATCATACAGATAACGTAGTGTAATGGAGCTATTAGATGTTAGCATCATACAGATAACGTTCCAAGAGTTCATCCTTAGTGTAATGGAGCTATTAGATGTTAGCATCATACAGATAACGTTCCAAGAG